GTATAGGGTGCTCTGGATTGCGAGGCGCAGTGGTGTTTTGATGGGGTTGGAGGCTTAAGAGCACGCCCTATAGTGCAGAAAATACTAGGGGTGTGCAAAAATATTGAAATATCGATATATCGTATCGCTTAATGTGATGATACAGTATCGATATCATGGGCTGCTGTATCGATATATCACCAAGAGTATTTTTGGTATATTTTACTAAATTATTTTGTTACAGAGCTACAGTTTTGTTGCTTGTTTAGAAGAAGGAAACTTTTTTATGCAACACATTTGACATTTTCACTGTTTTGATGAATAAAATGTTTGTGTTTCATATGAACTTTGCACAAAAATTGGTTTAACAAAGACTTTTAGTATCACAGACATGATTTAGTCTTTATTTTTATTGAACTGTACCGAATCAATTTGAAATATATCCTATTGAATCAAAAGCTCACTGTATCGAGATATGTATCGTGTCATGGCCTATGTATCGAGGTATGTATCGTATTGGCAACTTCATAATGATACCCAGCCCTAGAAAATACGGTACATGAAAAAATTACAATTACAATGTCTCTGCCTCTTCTACAAGTTGACTTCTGTCAGCATCATTCCAAGTAATCATGACTTGCACTGAGCAGTCCAGTCCGTTCCCACAATCTAACCACATGCAGATGAAACCCTTGAGTCACTGTAGTCTCCAGGGACACACCAGGAAACAGCTGAAGAACAATCAATATGTGCAGGAGCTCCGTGAGGCTGGGGCTGCATCTCCGTCTGATAGTCCCAGATGGGAGCTCTTCACTGGGCTAAACACGACCACAACACACCCCCACCTCCCCAGCACACTCAAGAGTCAATTATTTTTTTATAATTAAATAAAACTGTCGTCAGTTTAAATATTTGTTATATATTTAGTTTAGTCCCTGTTTTAAGCCTGTTTTTAGTTCTGCTTTAGTTCTGCTTTAGAGCTGAATTTGACCAGCTTTAGTTCAGCTTTAGTCCTGCATTTGACCTGCTTTAACCCTGCTTTAGTTTTGCTTTAGCTCTGCATTTGACCTGCTTTAGCTTTGCACTTGACCTGCTTTAGCCCTGCATTTGACCTGCTTCAGCCCTGCATTTGACCTGCTTTAGACCTGCATTTGATCTGCTTAAGCCCTGTATTAGCCCTGCATTTGACCTGCATTTGGCCTGCTTTAGCCCTGCATTTGACGTGCTTTCGCCCCACTTTAGTCCTGCTTTAGTCTTGACTTTAGTCTGATTTTTGTCCTGTTTAAGCCCTGTTTTAGACCTCCTTTAGCCCTGCATTTGACCTGTTAGCCCCGCTTGAGCTCTGCTTTAGCCCCGCTTTAGCCCCGCTTTAGCCCCGCTTTAGCCCCGCTTTGCACAGTGCTGTTCTCTCCGTGCCTGCACTCGAGCCCCACATGGCAGCACTACACGACACAAAAGGCCCATTTTCATCTGTTCCTGACGTAATGAGACAAACTTCTTCCCCCATAAACGACACTTACTCTTCTGTCACATCTGCAGCTCTACAGTCCTTTCTGTGTGGGCTTTGCATGTTCTCCCTGTGTCTTTTTCACCCATCTTTTAGTGAAGTGCCTGGGGACCCTTCTCCACATCTGACCCTGAATGCAGTACTTTTTGTAGTAGTAGTAGCTGTAGTAGTAGTAGTAGTAGTAGTAGTAGTAGTAGTAGCTGTAGTAGTAGTAGTAGTAGTAGTAACAGTAGGGGTAAGCCAGAGCCCAACAGAGAGAGAGTCTTTACAGCCGTGTTCAGGTCAACAGAAACTCTGATTCAGAGAAGCATGAAAGACAGACCTGTACTCACATCACTCCGGCCGCTTTTTCACGAGCTGGTGTTACAAGTGTTTAATACTGCACATCCAGTCATTTCTGTCTACAAATGAGTATTAAACTACAGACCAAAGTGTTGCTAATGAAGTTAAAAATAGTAATAACATACAGATACTAATTAATGCTAAAACAGGCACCGATAGAGCTGCTCGATTATGGATAAAATCATTATCACGATTATTTTGGTCAATATTGAAATCAGGATTATTCAAATGATTTTTTTTGTTGTTGTTGTTGTTGTTTTTGTTTGTTACAAGATACATGTATTCAGCAATTCTCTATCTCTCATTCTCTCAAAAAAAACCAACAACAAAAAAAAAAAAAAACATATTTTGTTACAGCGCTATAGTGTTTTGCTTGTTCAGAAGAAAAAAAATGAATTCATGGGAAACATTTGACATTTTCACTGTTTTGATTATTAAAATGTTTGTGTTTCATATCCACTTTTGCACAAAATTTGGTTAAACAAAGACTTTTAGTGTCACAGCCATGATTTAGCCACTATTTTTTATTCAACCATATCGAATCAATTTGAAATATATTGTATAGAACCAAAAAAGCACTGTATCGAGGTATGTATCTTATCGGCAGCTTCACAATGATACCCGGCCCCAAAATAAAAACACACTTTCAAATTGAAAATAAATATAGGCTACAAATCTGAACCTTAGAGCAATTTTACAATGTATAAAACATAAAATGAATAAATAAATATATACTTTGAACATGAAATAAGGCAGAAAAACATAAATGTATCCAAAATTAACTATATATCCAGCTGTTCTACAATCTCTATATTTAAAAAATTAAATAAACACTTATTCATATAAAAATAGCTTAACATAAACTTTGTTAAGCTTTATCGTTTCATGAGTTTGGAGATCGTTGGACACACAAATCAAAATCGCAATCAAAACTCAATTAATTGCACAGCCTTAGGTACTGATACTAAAAAGTTCTGTTATTTTTTGTGAATAATTATAAGCTCTTGTCTGTAATATTGAGGGTTTTTTTTTTAAATATTGTGATATCTGTAGCAAGCACTCATGAAAGCCTTTTCCTTAGAATCAAAATCGAGTCTGAAATCAGTTGCTAATGTGCACTTAGCTTTGTTTTCTATAAGCATTTCAACATTGAAGTTATCATTTCTGGGAAAGTGGCTTCGCGGAATAGAGAGGAGGTTCTGCTCAAGTGCAGAATCCAAGGACAAGGTTACATACTTCTGAGAAAAATAAATAAAACAGGATACAGTAGAGATTCTACAACTGTATAACTTAAATGAGTCATGAGTTCATTCTTGACCAGTGAGTATATTTACATGTGTTTTTTAAAATTCATTAAATAGTTCAATCATAATGCAGAATCTTTCATTACCACTCGACTGTGTTGTTTCTATTTACCATAGTTACAATATTTGCATCCTAATTTCACTCTCATTTAGTCTCTGAAATATGTTCCTTCTGTCTGGAAAGGAGCTTAAAGTTCAGGAAGTCTTAGATTTTATGAAGTAAAGTGGTTCAAACCGGCTTTGACAGTGCTATGATGTTACTGTAAGTGCTATGACGTTACTCTACGATCAGTGGTATTCTCAAACCACAACATGACATCACTGCAGACACGCATCGCTGCCTTGGTGAACTCAAGTCAGCAGGAAAATTACATTCAACACGTAAAGTCAAAAGCTAAAAAAAAAGGATTGGGAAAAAACACAAACAGGACAGAAAATGGCCTTGATCTCATACAAACCACAGTGTAATATTAAAAAAAAAACGATTGAATATGGCCAACATACTGTATGTCATCCATACATTTGCCTCCGCTATGCTAATGCGCTGTGTACAATCTTATTCATGATCTAAAACTCAAGTGGACTCTGTAAATCATGTGTAAGTTCAAGTTTACAACCTATATCTCATTAAAACAATAGATAAAACTCAATAAACATGACGTGCTTAAAAATAACAGCAGACAAATCACAGCAGAAGTGTGTCAAACATGTGCATATCATTGTTTATGGCAGGCATGGGCATTTAATTTTTCCATGAGCCACATCAGAAACAGAAAATATTGTGGAGGCCTAAATGCTGAACTCAATTCTGCATAATATTAATTGCGCTGGTTAGACTGGGAAGAGTTTATGTTATGACTAAGCAATGAAAAAGTGAGGTTGTCTTAAAAAAAAAAAAAAAAACATAAAAAACACCTCTAGAATAAAAACAATGCAGCTTTAGTCCATGCATGAGGTAAAATGATAAAACATGTTTATTTTATAATTACAAAGGAGTTTAAAGGGGCTGGTCAGAGTCAACCAAAGGGTCGTATGTGGCCTCGGAGCTGAACAATGCCCAGGTCTGGTCTATAGTGTGTACTGTGTCCTTAAGTATCTGTGTAGTGTACCGCTGGACAGAAAAGTCCGTCCAAGTGAAAGTGTGTCAACAATAAAGTGGCATAAAACAAATAGTGTTTAAAAAGCAAATATATCCTGAATCATGCTGAAGGACACGAGTCATTTCAAAGCGGCACTATGCAACTTCTGGTTTAGTGTCTGCAGGTGATGCCACCAGGTCAAGTTACAGGTCCGATCTGTGGAGGGGCGACCCCACTCACAGTAAGAATATACGTTTTTCAAGGTATTTTACAGCAATAAAAACTGTAATAAAGGTAAGATATAGTCTTAATGTCATACTGTCATACTGTGGAACATTTGAGACAACGCAGTAACATCTCCATGGAGACGAGCAGGTGCGCACCCGCAGAAAGGTTCCACAGTGCACCTTTAAACCATTAGCTGTTTAGACTCGCGGCGTGATTAGTTTGAGTGGCACACATTAGCTTTGCTGTAACTTTTGACATAATAACCTTACGTTTTATAGTTAAGAGAAGATATTTTGGCAATTATTATTATTAAAATACGTGAAATGACTTCATTTCCCGCGTACACTTGTAATGATATGGTGTGTTTCCACGCGCAGAGCCACAAACCGTCCTGAGGCTGACATGGATGTAGACATGGCTCTATGAGCTGACACACCGAGCTACTGTGGCCTATAAAAGCGGAAAAACACGACTTCAAATCACAAATGTTCCCAGAAAACATGTTATGGAACAGCACGAAGCAGCAGCGTCTGAAGATGCTAACCAGCCCGGCTAACTCACCTCTTTGACGGGGGGGAATTTCTTCTTGCACTCCATGGACAGAGAGCGCAAGTCCGTCTGCATGTTCTCCAGCAATTTCTTCACGGCTTCGGGGCTGCTCGTCGACATCGTGACGGTGTTTTAGACAAATACAATAATCAGGTTTAGATCTTAAGGAATGCAGGTTAGCATTCGCCCCCAGCTCACTCAGAAAATCGACGTTTATTCGTCTCCCTTTACGAAAATCCTGCCAAAACGCGTCGGTCCATGAACACTATGTCCCGCTGGATCTCTCCCGAAGCGCAGGAGAGGCGAGGGGCCGGGCTCATGTGTCCCCGGCTCACACACGCTGCAGATCGACGCGTTTGAGAGGCATCCTCGGGTAAAACATGCTGAAATGTGGATATATTTGTCAAATGGAGCGGCCGTTGGCCATCAGCTGCGGCCGTGTCAGCTCCTCTCGCCTTCCCACAATGCCTCAGCGCACAGTGACACGTCATTCGGACTTCCGTAAACAGAGACCGATCGTGCAGACAGAACACACCGCCATCTGCTGGACAATGGAAGAAATGACAGGAAGAAAATGCTTTTTTTTTCTTCTTCTTTTTTTTTCTTTTTATTACAGAAAATACGGAAGGCCTGAGAGGCAAGAGAAAAATAAACAAGAGGCAGGTCAAGTGTTTGTTTTTTTCACCAACTCAAAAAACAAATAATTATTTTTTACAAAAAAAAAAAATCTACAATTTTTTTTTTAACATTTTTTTTCTTAAAAAAATCGTATTTTGATTTCTCTTGAGTTTTTTTTTTTTTTTTTTTTTTTTTTTTTTTTTGTCACTGTTGATGATGTCACTGATGAAAAAAGATAAAATAAAATAAGACACTGCTCAAAGCCTAAGTGTTTTCCCAGTATATTCCTCTAAATACCAAACTTCAGCACCAGTGAACTGGTGGAGCAAAATCTCCTGCCGTTAGGTGCTGAGTTAGGACATGAGAGGCTGGGGTTCAAAACTCACCTGTTCCTTTTTTTTTTTCTTGATCAGCCACATCAACAGTGGAAAAAAAAAAAAAACACACAAGAGAAAAAAAAAAAATTTTTTTAGCATTGCAGAAAACATAGCAGCAAGACAAAACATCAGAGTTATATACATTATGAAGTGCAGATGGAATTGCTGTGGCATCAATGCAAAGTCCAGTTTACAGTTATGGCAGGAGGGAGGGAGGGAAAATATACATATACATTCATACACATAAACATACATAAACATACATACATACACGTCTTTTTATTTTTATTATTATTATTTTTTTCCTACTCTATGGGGGTGGTTTGCAATTTATTATACAGGAAAGCAGAAGGAATGAAATAAAAAATAAAAATAATGTCATAAATTAAATAAAGCTATTCTATACTTCTTATAGATATTGTAAGTTTTAACTGCTTTTTTGTTTTGGACCTGTTTTATTCTTTGAAAATATTGCTGGATTTCGATATTATACTGATGAATATTTGGTTTATTTTGAGCCCATTTGGTTTTGTGTATATGATACTTTGCCAACATAATGAGAGTCTGAATGAGGAATCTGAGATCTTTGGGGATGGAGGGGCTGGTGAAATAGAACATGACTGTTAGGATTTGGTTTTTGTTCTCTCCCCCTCCCCCTTTTGTTGAGGAGCTTGAGTGTGGCAGGGGGCGTGGCTTCTTCCAGAGCAGATGAGACACACCTGCAATCAATTCCTTCATCAGCCTCTGTATTTAGCCCTGGTCTTCTCACTTTGCCAGATAATTCTGTCCTGTTCAGTTCTATCAGGCTCTTGGATATGTATCCATTTTGCTTGCTGCTAGTTTTGGACTTACCTGTTCCTGTTTTCACCCAGGTGTCTCCGTGGTTGTCTGCCGTTGCCTCTGGAGAAGTCGGCCAGCTCCCTGCCTCCTCAGCCTGCCTGTTCATATGAAACACAAACATTTTAATCATCAAAACAGTGAAAATGTCAAATGTGTCACATACACGAGTTTCGAGTTTCCAAGCAACGAAACTGTAGCTGGGCCCGGTCAAGCAGAAGTACTATACATCAAGGCCAAAAATTCAAGTGAATGCATCTGATATAAAAATGTATTGAACAGATACATATGTACTCTAGTTTATGAAACTGTTGACCTTTTTTCTGTACCGTTTTTGGTTCTAAAGTTCCATACGTTTTAAACAGACCATGTATGAAACATGGAACAAAAATTATTTCCGAAATTTCAAAGACCTGCAAATCATGTCAATAAATGGATGTATTTCATCATATCTTGTGTTATTCCATCTTTGAACTGTTGATGAAGGTTTTTTTTTTTTTTTTAATCATATTTAAAATGATAAAAATTTGCTTGGAAGGACTGACATATTTTATAGAAATAGTTTCCTTTCATTTTGAAGTAATAAAGTATTTGGAAGAAAAAAGCGACAAATGATGTAAAATCCTGCACCTTCTACTTGTTTGTACAATTTTCTCTCCGTTACCATGACCTTTCTTAATAAAAAATCTCATGAGTCAAAAAGTAAGAGGTTTTTCAACCTAATCTTGTACCATATGGTAGAAAACTATATGAAGCAAATATTCAAACCAGTTTGTTAAGGATATGGAAGTGAGAACCAAGAGTTATCACTGTTTGGATTTATTGCCCAAAAAGTGCTGCATATTTCATTCCCTGTGTTACCGACAATTTTTTGTCAACAACTTGAAAGAATATCACAGGTTTAACTTGACCCTGTTGGAGTGTAACTCTTTCCTACATTCTGATATTTTACTTATTTCAATAGTCCCTCTAGTTTCTGAATAAGAGACATTTGAATGTAAAAAAATCTGCCCCGGTTTCCCTCCGTTACTGCTTGACCGGACCCAGCTGTAACAAAATAATTTACTAAAATATACCAAAAATACTCTTGGTGATATATTAATACAGCAGCCCATGATATTGATAATCAATATTTCGATATACACACCCCTAAAATTAAGAGGTCATTGTTATTTTATTGGGCTGACTGTTTTCTCCATCTGAGAGGATTCAAACTTCAGTACCTACACTGAAATGCCCCATGTTTTGCAGCTTTACCAGCAGCTTAAACATTTGAATATGATTTGAACATATTATTCCCGATCGCTCCGTGGCTCCCTCCATTTTTCTCTCTGCAGATACATCTCTCCCCAGTTTGTGTAGCAGGCGCCAGCCATGGAAGAAGATAAGATCTTGTTAAACATGGCACCCATTGTTGCTAAATATTCCACTGAACAGATTTAATTAGGAGATCCTACCTGCACTTTTTGTAACTCTGCAGATGAAACCGTGTCTTTTTTTTTTTTAAATGTGTGTAATCACGATTGTCATGGTGTGAAATTAAAGCATTTGGTAGCAGAATATTTTCAGACACAATTTCTAGAGGGGAAAAAAATTAGGGCTGGATACAAAATAACATGAAAATAACATAAACCACATCATTAATGTATTCATATCCCATTCAAAATACTATATCTTGGATTGTTTTTCCCGTGTGCGCACGCGTGTGTGCGCACGCGTGTGTGCGCATGTGTGTGTGTGCCTTACTGTGTCTGTCTTTTGCTTTTGTAACTATAAGGTCCACAACAAAAACAAGATGGTGAGACATCTCAAGGAGCTTATCCTCCATATAAATAAATACAAATAAAAATTTTATAACCCCATGTTCTTGTCTCTGTTAAAATGTTCTTGCTTCGCCTGGTATGTTCCACAGTAGCATCTCCATCTCCGTGGAGATAAGATGATATCAGGATAGTTACAGGAGCGCTGATGCAAAATTAACAAGACTAATGATGCCATATTGTGGAAGATTCCAGGCAAAGAAATAACATCTTCATGGAGTCAAGCAGGTTGTGGACCCTCCAGCTTCCACCTGTAAACATGAAAAGAACTCCTTGTGCTCGCTGGTGTGTGGTGGTTTAAGAGCTGTACATGTTGTGGTTTCCACCTCAGGGATGTGGGTTTCCTCCTGCCTCCACCACTAAAGCCAGTCAAGAGTTCATTTTCAAAAACAGATAAGAGACATTCACTTGATGCTTTTAAGTCTCATTTAAAAACTCACTTTTACTCACTTTTAACCAGCAGAAGAGACGACTAAACACAGGGAGTCAGTGTTTCAGATTCATGCAGCTAAAACCTGGAACAGTCTTCCTCAACATGTGAGACAGACTCGACTTTAACTCTGTTTAAATCCAGACTCAAAACACTTCTGTTTAGCTGCATATGACTGAAAGGTTTTCATTTTTCATTCTGCACTCTTCTCTCTCATTTAAAGTCTCTGTCTTTTTAATTTTATGATGATTATTTATGTTTTGATTTGTTTGTATTGTGATTGTAATGTATTTCTTATTCTGTGAAGCACTTTGAATTACTCTGTGTCAGAGGTGGGACTTGCAAGTTTGGACTTGGACTCGAGTCAGACTTGAGTCACTATTTTTAGGACTTGTGACTTGACTTGATAAAATGGACGAAGCCCTGAGACTCGACTTGGACTTGAAGGTCAGTGACTTGGGACTTGACTTGGACTTGAGGCCTGTTCTGACCATAATGATTCACACAAAAGTCTAAGCTATATTTGGTACTTTCATTTAAAGACTTGAAATGACTCAAAGCAGACGACTTGGACTTGACTTGGACTTATAAACCAGTGACTTGAGACACGACTTGGACTTGCCTGTGTTTGACTTGGGACTTGACTCGGACTTGAGGTCAAAGACTTGAGTTCACTTGCAAAACGATGACTTGGTCCCACCTCTGCTTTGTGTATGAATTGTGTGTCCAAATACATTTGCCTTGCCACTTTGGTCAAATTAAATATTAAAAATTAAATAAAATCACAAGTAAAATGTGCTCTACAGATAAAGTTGGATTGGACTGAAAAAAGCATCAGAGGTTTGCAGTTTACTCTCAGTATGGTCATGTTTTCAAAAGCCATATGTATTTTACTACCATCAAAATATTACTCCAACCTTTCTTGATAAAATCCACTATATGTTCGTGTCATTGATATCTCTAGAGGATGGTAAAAAAAAAAAAAAAACTGACAATTTTTCAAAATGGAGATCTCTGTTTTTGCTATTCAACTCTTATATCCGTCTGTTTGCTTATCTTCACCGCAATTTTATCTTTAATTTTCCACCACCAATATTTGGAACGCTTCCCAAAAGATTCAAATATAGTTGCAATGAAAAAAAACATATGTGTTGAACAGTTTCTGCTTCACTGTTACAAAATTAAAATACTTCTTTAAAAAATCATTACAGGGAAAATAACACATTTTAAAATGAGTTTCTTTGTCTTTAGGACAGATTGGAAGTGAGAGGCAATTTGTTCACATTTTTGTTCATGATATCAAGTGGAAAGTCTTTAAAATGCATTCTTTCTTTTAATTCCTTCTTTGCACTCTTGCATTCTTGCCTCTTTGCATTCTTGTGTCCTT